GGGGGTAGGGCCCAGGCTTAGGACTAACTCGATAAAGGGAGAGGAACCACGAATCAAATATGTAAGTACTCCTTAATGTTGTCATTAGAATCGACAGCTACTGCCAATTGGCCAACATTAAGCTGAAAAGTGATTGAAAATAGCTCAATATTAAATCAGAAGCTTATGACCTAGAAGCGTCAAAATTTTTCGGTATTAAATGTATGGCTATAGTCCATACTTGCCCGAGCTTCCGGATATGGGAGGTTGTTGGCTATTTGTCTAAGGAAAAGGTTAACTTCACACTACAAAATTTGACGATATGTGTACCTTGGCCAGATCAGATGCTTTACTTTCTAAGACTTGGAATAACAAATTTGTCACTTAAAGCCTGGTTTCCACAGTTTTATGATCTTCGAGAACATTCCAATTGTCGCAAAAATATTTCGAGACAATCAAGACGATGATTTATAAACACTACTCAGATTATCACGTAAGACTCACACAATCGAATAGTACTCTGTTTAATGGGGCTAACGTGATCGACCCGATTGTCTGGTCGATGTGATATTCTGGCTGTCTTGAATTTTTTTTTTTTTTTTTTGACACTAAAAGGACAATCCTGACGATTTGTAGAATAATCAGGAAACCAGGCTTTATCAGAAAGTTAGTAATAGACTAGCATACAAAACAGCTGTCAAACGTCTGCGCTTGTGCGAACGCTGTAACGATAAGGTGGCGCCTTTTCATGGAGTGTCGGAACTAAGTTGAATCAACGAGTTGCAAATGACCACACAAGCGAGTAAATCATGCTATTTTAAAAGTGTATAACCTTTTTTGATACAGCTCAAAACAGAATGGTAAACCAGCCGAATACCTGGACTTAAATAAGCTCTGACCTCCAGTTTTCTTTTTCTATACTGTTGTTTTCCTTTTACAGATTTCGATAAAAGTTTCAGAAATCTTTCGCTAATCTTGCGAGATGGCGGTTGGTTCTTATGTTTTCCTTTGAATTTTTGCGCGCGAAAATGAAGCGCGGCCGACCAAAATTGATCCCGTCGCGCATGCTCGACGTTCGACCGCTGTGTTCTAGCATACGAACGGTCTTTTATAAGTGCCTCGGCACGTGCAGCGAAGCCCGCAGGTTTTAAGCCGGCGAATGAAGCGAGCTTGTGAGAGGTTTGGGAGGAGTCGGGTCTGGGCCGGAACATTTCAGTTCCTTACAGAACTCTTAAAAGCTTCGCTTTGGGGAAACCTGGTGGACGCTTGGGAACCCAGAGGAAGGTCGAGTAAACATGAGAACAACTGATTTGAAACATTGCTGTCATAATACTCATCCGCGCACGTGCGACAAGAAGTGGGTTAATATTGAAGTCTTTTTGTAAGTGGTGCTCAAGTGAGACCGCCGAGATATATTTCAGGAGCCAACTTACCTTTCCGTTACAGTTGTGACGCGTTCTTTTTTCCTCGGGAACATTATTTACTGGTCCTGGCTGAGTCGCCAGATAGATTGATTCTTCAAGACTTGTAAACATTTTCTCTTTCTCCCATTTTTGCAAAAGCGGGAAATATTTCACGTGGAGGAATATGTCGATATCTGTATCCCAGGGAATTAGATCGTTATTGCGTAGCATTCCAATAAGACTCCCTGCAGCTAAAGTGTAAATAATGTTGTGTTCCTTGGCTGCAATAGTCCAGGCACGAAGAAGATGGCACAAATTGTCTCGCCTTGAGTTATCAGAACAATCTGAGTCCCCGTATGCTTCCCGTGTTGCATTGCCTTTGCAAGATATGAACCCGGGCCTTGTAATCTCTACATTCTGAACTCCAATACTTCTTTCCTCTTCAACTGATGCGGGCGTGGTCGGTCTATAAGCATTTGTGAAAATGTGGTTTGCAATCTCTGCATTAGTTTCATTTATCATTATATATGAGCTCGTTTCATTGTCAGGTACGTTTCTCTTTCGAAACAACTGTTTAAAGATATAGGAATCAGCCACTTCTAGCCGGAAAATGTAAAAGAGGCTTAAAATTCCAACCGCGACAAACGTTGAGAAGAAGTAACATTTCCAAGTCTGAAGAGCACTGAAGGCTGTCATAAGTGGGATGCTGTCAATCTTCAGTTCACTCAGAATTTCAGTAGTGATGATTACAGTGCTCCAATTTGAGGACGGTAAAGTCTTTATTTGAAGGCTTCTAAGTTAAAAAAGAAAACACACTATAATTTTCAAAAATGGCTTCTGATGTAAGTAAATTGCCATCCCATATGTTCATCTTCATGCACTCAGTGTTAACATTTAACGTCACATCATTTGACCCCTAAGAGTGACTGGCATCTAGTTACTCCTTACAATACCGACCCTGATTCACATATTAAGGTGACATGAATAAAGGAAATGATCAAGAACTAAAGAAGCACTTGATTTTTAAACAAATTCTCCTTGTTAGCACCTCGGGAAATGCATACAACAGTAAAGAGAAAATGCATGCTGATGTGAGGGTGTAAAGGGTTAATGTAACCCAATCCGTTCCCTGTGTGTTGCGAAGGGAGAACGTCTAATTTTAAGGCTTGGGCTGAACATCCTTATTTTTTTTTCGCAATTTGAGCCTAAAAAAAATTTCTTAACATGTTCTCAAAGTCGTGAGATATAGTATTGAAATAAATTGATTCGGACGTGACCAGACTGTGTTCGACTACAAACTGGGTCGTTCTTCAGCTTATCGTGCAATAAGAAAACCGCATCGTTAATGTTAAAAAAAGGCCCCAAAGTAGTTGAGTTTATTGTCTTGTTAGACCACAGTTTTACATTTCTTTTACCTTCAAACTTTTCACACAATATAAAGAGCAAAATGAAGATGTTCTTTACTGACTCTCAGCCAAGATGTGTTCTTAAGGTGTTAAAATTTTGGTTAATCTCAGCCTGAACGCCCTTTCGAACGGTTAACCTGGTAGTGGCGTTCCATCTCGGATTTGCATAGCTTTATCAAATTCTCTCATCCTTCCATTCCATTCCTCGCTTGCTTACAGCTGATATATTGTCCGGCAAAAAAAGAGCAAAATTTAATCGAAATTTTTGACTAAATATTTTTTATATCTTGGGAAAAAATTTTCTTTCTTAGCAATTGATATTCTTCAATGCATTCCATGATTTGCAAGGGTGTTTGAAACTTTGAATTCATAAATCTTAAGTTAGAAGCCCTTGTGCTGCTAAACCATGGCGCTTCTCTCGAACGAAGAACTGCTTATCGCAGGTCAGCGGCGCAGCCAGCCTTAGGCCCATGGGCCTGCAGTTTTTTTTCCACTTTCTTTACTTTTGTAATATGACTTTTGTAAATGTTGAAACAAATATTGAACTTCCTTAGGCTGCAGAATTACGACAAGTCGAACAGCTGGCTACGCCCTTGCAGGTTGCAAGTCACTTCATATTTAATCACAACTCAATATAAGGGTGATGTCACGCAACACCATTTTCTTTTGAAAAGAACGAGGTATTGTAATTCACAAAACTTTCTCGTAACCACCTTTCTCTGTTTTTTCCTATTAGCGATGAAATTATAAGTATATGAAAACCGTTTCCCAAATCACCGTGCACGTTATAAATCGCAAAATGATCGATGAAGTTAGAATCTAACGCTATTGTATCTACGATACGAAAGCAACTCGGCGGGTAATTAATTTAGAATTTTGAAATACAAATACATATGGTGATTAAACAGCATACTAATTAAGACTTTTGTTAGCTTGATTCGAGGCGATGGTAATTCCAATATCGGTGGATCCGGACCTGAGAGCTATTTTACCGACAAGAGAGAAGTGGTAGTTTGTCCTCTCGAGGCACGAAGTGAAACGAACGTGATTCTTCAATGAAGCAAAACGAACCTGGGTTGGAGCAAGAGTACAGTACAAGGCCGCTTTTAAAGGAAGTATATCTTGTGGCTCGTTCGGCTCGGCAGCGGACAAAAGAACGAGTAATATTGAATATAAGTGTCAGTTAGAGGCTCGTTTGGCTTGGTAGTGGATATAAGAACGAGTAATATGGAAGATACGCGTAAGCTAGTGGCTCGTTTGGCTCGGCAGTAGATAAAAGAACGAGGAATAATCTGTATGCATAAAGTCTCAGTTCTATGCATTTAGTGGCTCGTTCGGCTCGGTACTGGATGAAAGAACGAGGAGTAATGAAAATGCAAGTTGAGTATTACGTTTATCTATTCACTGGATCATTTGGCTCAGCATTGTTAACAAAGAAGTAAACGAGCCAAACGAGCCGACTCGTTTGGTGGATGATTTAAAGTGGCCTTGTATTCTGTAGGTTAACCCCTGGGTCTCAAAGGATTCCCAATATTCACTGTCTTATGATGTAATATTTTAGATCACTGACACGGAGCATTGAACGCATGGTTGAGTAATTCCCATGTTGTATCTCTTGGACAAAGTGACATTAATCCACCGGAAACGGGTGAGCATTGAATATATGGGATCGAACTGAAGCGTCTGACAGAAACTTACCTTTCATTCTTGGCCACTAAAGGGAAGTATGATGGTCAAATTCATTGTTTCCTTAAGCCATATCTGAGTGGACCTCTTCCTATAACCAGATTTCTGCCTCGTGGCCACTGGTCTGTCGTTAACCTCAGAATTACGTGGGTGGCTACAAAGCAATTTTTCGTGTTCACACTGCGTGACATAGGCTTTGGTAACTTATTCCTTTTAGTCTGTGCATATAATCAAATAATTACAACAACCACTGGTGATGTACAAACAAAAATTTCGACTGAAATAAAACTCAAACCATATTAGCGAATAAAGTGGCGCAACAGAATCTTACAGCTGTTTAAATGATTTTGAGCTCGAGTAAAATATTTAACTAATCGATCTTCGTCGATCGCGCCGACTATCTTGACGAGTTTTTGGCTCTTGCCATCATAATACCCCGTTGTTGTTATGCAGTTTACTTTTAAATATTTATAGCTCTTTTTTTCGAGGTCGAAACGCGTTGGATCCCTAAAAAAGCGAAAGTTATTTCTCCTAACTTCTGCACAGCAGATGTTTCCTCACAGGATCCTCAACACTTATTTCAGTCGAGAAACCCATGGCTCAGACATCGTTACAGAGTGAATATATAATTCATCGCAAACTGCCCGCTTTATTGGAGACTGAGTTTACTTTAAGACAGCAGGAATATACACAAAGTGCTGTTTAACCATTTTAACCCTAAAACCAGCAGTTTGCGTATTCTCCTAATTGTTGATTCAGGGGTGAGATTGTAAGGAGAAATTAGATGTTAATCACTCTCAGGGGTCAAAACTGATGTGATGTTTTAAGTGCATGAAGATCTACCTATGGGTTAATAATTTACTTACAGCTGAAAATGTTTTTATTTCTAATAGTCTGTTTTCTTTCTCAACTTAGAAACCTTTACATGAAGGCACTCTTACGGTGCCTGCTAGTGACTATCCACGCACGGGGCAGTGTGTTAGGATATATCCAATGGCACGTAAATACTTTAATCCGTTGTTATTGTTTATTTATATTTTTAAAGTGGGATATCGCATAAAAAAGGCCCCCAAAAAGGTATTTTTGGCTGCATTGTACTATGATCTAAAAACTCTTACGCAGCTCTGCCGTTCACATCAACCCAAGTTCCATTCTTGCATTTATAAATAGGCTCAAGGAAATCGTCAGTATTGAAGTAGATTCGTGAAATTTCCCAAGGGTTGCGTGGACACGACGCTTCAAAACCCATGAAGTTACACGGCTCAAAGGGATAAAAATCCTTCTTAGGGTACTGCTTGAGTTTATCGTCGCTTGGATCGTCTACAAAGAGCACTCTATCGTAAAAGTGATAAAAGTCAATGTGTAAGTTTCCCTTGAAGAGTCTTCCAAGTGGCTCCTGGAAAGAACATTCGTCTATAAGCTTTGGCGCCACCTGTAATAGGAAGACAAAGCAACCAAAATGTTTTTGTGTTCCTACAGATGAAATTACTATCTAAATACATGTCTTTTGACAAGCTAACTGATAGGATCGGGCATCGCCAGGTTGGAATTATTCGTCCTGAGGAGTTGTGCTCCACTCAGTCCTTATGACATGAGGATGATCAGGTAAATGTTTGTGTGGGGGACTTAAGTGGATCAAAATAAAGCAAATGCTTTTCAAAATTTCTCAGCGCCATTACAAAGTTTTAAAATCTGACTGTCTGAAACGAACAATGTACTATGTCAGCATCTTTCAAAAACCGAAAAGTCGAAAATGGACGTGATTGTCACATAGCCTACAGGCCAGACTTATTGAATTAAAAGGGCCACTAGATGTCAGAATAAATGAATGAGTAAACAAATAGATAAACGATTGATCATTTATCGACTGTTTTTAAAAGGACATCTACCGATGACATACCTTGCCTTGACAATCATAACGTTTCCTCTTTTCAACTGGAATGTTCAATGTGAATTCTGGTTGCAGCACCAAATGGATCTTCCTGTCTGACCGTGAAAAATTTCGTCTCTCAGCCAGCCTTCTCATAGTCGTAAAGTAATTGATATCAATCAAGACGTCTATGTCAGAATCGTACGGGATTATATCGTTATTTCGCATCGCCCCTAAGAGACTACCTCCGCACAGAACGTATTCAATGTTGTATTGTTTGGAAATGTTAATCCACTTTTGGAAGAGCTCTGTCAAACCGGCATCCCGCCAGGGGTTATCGGGACATCCCGGTTCGCCATAGACATGGTTTTTTTCTTGTTGCGAGGGTAGATTTGACCTTTCTTTCAACGTAGGGTATTTTTCCGCTGTTGACCTCTCCGTTGTCGCTTGAGCCTTCACGGTGCTAATACTTGACGAAGTCGATATACTTTCCGTTTGAAGTGGACGGTGTTTTAACGTACCTGGGCTTAAATTCGTGGTTTTAGCGTAAAGATAAATCATTCCTGGTTTCCCAATTTTAGAATCTTGATGTTCCTCTTTGGTAGCCCTCGCCATATGAGCAGATCCACCTAATTTACTGAATTGGAGCTTTGTAGGTAATCCTGTCCTTACCTCTCTTTCTCTTAAAGCTTTGTACACCATTTTCCCTTGACTATCCGGCAAAGCGATCTTTTGCATTACATTGTGCAGATTAACCACGCCGGTTGAAGTTCTTTCGAACTCATAATTAGCTCCTATATGTTTCGTCGAGGAAAATTTAGCTCGCAAAAGAAAGAGCAGTCCGGAAAATAAGAAACTGAACGCAAAATACAAAAACAGTCTCAGCCAAGCGCGTGTTAAAACAAAACTTAGCATTCTCTCGACTGAGTTAAAGATCGACGGTAGTTTCATTGCTTTGTTTGTTCACCTGACTCGGAGTAATAGATACCGTATTAGCAAGTCTAATACCATTCACGTTGGAAAAAAACATCTAATAGGAAGAGGTTACGTGAAGAGATAATAGGACAAGAGATAAAATAAACAAGTAGAGCACTATCGGTTTCTTAACCTTTCTGAAAGGTAGACTACGGAAATTCTCAACTTTTCCCCTCTGTTTGAAGAAAATGGAAGAACTGCGATCAGTTTTGATGAAATAATTTTACTGAACGCATTACTCTCTGTTCAAAACAGACATATGATCTTCGCTCGTCGGGCCAATCCAGAAAAACAAAAATCCTGTATCAAAATCTAATCCTGGAAATTGACTTTACAGGACATATTCTGGAGCAGAGAAAGTTTCCCCTGAAAAGAAGTGTCCCTTCAATAAAAGTGACCGATGAACTGGCTATGGAAAAATTTTGAATCGGGAACAAATTTTGTTTCCCTAGGATGGATGTGTCCTGTGAATTGAGAGGTTGTGTATGCGACTGGTTCGACAGTATAAAGATATTAATTAATAGATTCCGAACCTCTCGCAGCCAGCGAGTGTTCCCTTAGAAGGAACCCTTCCGAAAGAAGAGATTGCTGAGTTTTTCTATGTCCGTACCAATATATGTGTGAAGGCAAAAAAAAGGATTGTCTGATATAATTTTTTTTTAAGAAATAGGGCTACTCCCTCATAAAGAGACTGCATCGATAGACCAACTACAGGTAACGGAAACCGTTCGTTTCGCTAACGAGTCTTTGCCTTCACAAATAACGTCGGGGACGGACAGGGGACAAACTAAAATAAAATCTCTGTCAAAGGGCTCTTCCTGAAAAACTATCGTTGGCAGCACGAAGGTTGAGATCTGTTACGATGGTTGACTATCGATGAGACAAAAACTTTCAGCAAACTTGACCTCAACACACGTTTTAATCTGCAGTTCTGGCAAATTTCTGACCAAAGAATTGACCAAAATAAAGACCAAAGAAAGCTTTACAACACAGTTCTATTTAAGCCTAAAAGACAAAGAGTCAGGTAAGGTTATGAATTATCTAAAGGATTTGGTCGTGCTTTAAACTATCTAATACATTTTAATAAGAGCGATTGGCTGGAGAGGAATTTCGCCTTTAATTAGATCTTAAAATTACTTTCAAAACAACACAGATAGATAAAAACTAAACGAAGGACTTACACAGGTAACGTTTACAGTTTAAAAATAATTACAGTTTCGAACAAAAGACTACTGTTTACGGCTGGCTGAATAACAATTGGTAGTACTTTACGCTATGCAGAGCTTAGCAAAAGTTCCGCAGTTTCCATATGTTGAACTTCATATATTACATCAGCATTAGCACAGTAGACTTAAAAACTAGAAATCCTCTTGCTACACTAGACCTTAGGCAGATATCTAGCCGGCTGGCCTCGCTCCAGGCCCTACACTTTCCGTGGGCGAAGAAACCTTCGTACCGCATCGCCTATACAATAAGGGCTTGCCCGCAGTTAAGCCAAAATAAAGTCAAACTGACGCAAGCTTTCTAGGTGAGATGTAGTTCATAATTAATGGGAAATGATAAGATTTTTTTTCTCCTGATGGGGATTAGTGCATAAAACACAAAGGTGACTAAGTATCGAAAATAAGTCTCCATGTATGAATAAAAATTTCTTAGGGCCTATTGTAATTAACAATAGGAACATGGTCTTGGGTATCCGCGACAATACTCGGGAGGGCGAGTTGTCTCGCTTCAGCAGGTAGGGTAACCCTGTTAAGCGGGAGAACTTTTTCTCATATAGACACTTCAGCTCGCCTGCTCGGAACGAGACGGTTCAAATTGTTTCCGGAGCTTTAGTGTATTAGGTCGGCGGAGACCATTTTGTCCAACATGTAACCTGCCTGTCACGAGAGAGACTGGTGAGGGGACCGCTGTCACAACTCACAACTCGATGCAGACTCTCCACAAATTTTTCTCGAAGGGGAGGGTTGTCTTGGTATCCAGGGCCATATAAATATTCCCTTTGAGCCTTAAAGTGACTGAGTAAACTTTTAAGCTAATTAACTGAAAAGAGAAGCGAGTTTCACGCAAAACGCCATGTTTTTTCTTTTAATGTTATGATCATTCTTAAATCGTATGCGTTTCTTAGAAACGATCTGGTTACATAGAACACAGATTGGCATGCTTCGGAGGAAAGATTGTTACACCCTCCTCACTTAAGACCCTCTCCGTATTTTAACAGTCGCACGATGTCTTCGCAGTTAAATCGCCCGTCTTCATCAGTCAGAGCTCCTTGCAGGAAAACTTCATCAACCTTCAAAGATTGAAAAGAAAATTAAGGCAAATATGAAAGAAAAATTATATGAAGTAGATAAAGGGAAGGGCACTTTGTAAAATATGTCATTCACCGCTTCTTGCATTTATCATTTGTTTTTATATTTTTTTCTGGAATATTGCCTAACCCTATAATATAGGCAATGACAGAATACTTAGCAAATTTGGTTGACTGAGGTTTTTTTTTTCTCGCTACGTTCTTGAGGCTAATCGAGTCTACTGAATTGAGTTGAGAACTTTATACTTGAGTCGGGCAAAATACATAAATAAAAACTTAGACCCAATTAATTTTAGTGAAAGCATTAACTACACCAACTGATCAAATTTTGGAAATTGCCTTGATACCTGTTGCTCTGTTAACCTCAGACCCATCGTCATCAAGAGTTCTTTGAAATCGTCGAAATTTAAAACTCCATCGCAGTCTTCGTCAAAACATGTAAAGGCGTTTCGGATTAGATCTTCGGGGTCTGCGGAACCCATCTTAGAAGCAAACATGGACAGAAATCTTGCAAAGTCCACATTTCCTTGTACCTCGTTCAGCATCTCCCTGACCTCCTTGTCTGTCGGTTTCTGCCCGAGAGAAATTAAGATTTTCTGTAGATCATCTTTGCTTATAACGCCGTCACGATCTTGGTCGATGAGATTGAACGCTTCTTTCAGTTGAGTCAGTTGCTCTTTGTTGATGTGTCCCGTGGCCGGCTGCCTGGTGCCTACTGTTCTTTTGAATTTTCTCCGCGGGAGAATTCTGCTCCCGTCTTTGTGATAAATTTTGCTTTGCTCGAAATCCATTGCTTTTGGTGCAGTACTCAGCACGTGCAATGAAATATTTAAAAGAATCAAAGTCATTATAGGAAAAGTGGTGTGGTCAATTTAGCGCACAGAACATCTGCCTTCCTAAGAGTCGCGGTCTGTGGAAAGAAAGATAACCCTTGAAATTCTGAAACCACTAACCAAATATGTCACTCAGTTCTTGTAAATGTAGCGTTTAATGCATTAGGCAAATTCCGATTGACTTCTTTTGAAAAACATGTGATATCATCTGACAAATTGAATCAGGCGTCATTCAAGCGAATTAATGTAAATATTGGTATACAATAGGCTCGCCAATTTTAACCGCACCTTGAAATGGAACTGTCATGCATATTATCGATTTTTCACAACACAGAAAAATGACTGGCGTAGTTCTAAATTGTAGATTATTCAAGATATTGTTGCCATTTGTTTTGTGATAGAGGCAGTAAACAAAGTTAACGCAAATCGTTTAATTAAATTTCAATTTGTTTCCCTAGAAAGTAAATATTTTTGAAAATTTTAATTATGTTTTAGTGCGAGTGAGTACATTTTTGTAACTATGTATTTGATTGATTCATTTTTCTGTTGATTTTTCTTTTTTTTCTTGTTTTTTGTTTTTTGTTTTCATTTTGTTTCATTATTATTCTTTTTGACCACTTTATTTCCCTTTCCAACTCATTTTAATACTTAATTCATTTATTTTGGCCGAGGAACTTCAGTAGGCTGGTACCAACTTTCCTACAGAGGAGGACTAAAGAGAGCACCTACGAACGCCTGTCGAAATCTACCATTCTTGTTACTCCGTCCATGTTTATGGCGGACAAATGCGCAGTAGAAGTCGTCATAAAACTTGGAGGTTCTGCAGTTACGCACAAAAATGTTTTTGAAACTGTCAAACGTGAGGCAATCTTAGCTGCGGCTGAGCTGGTGAAAAAACTCCCCGCGGAAAAATGCATCGTCATTCATGGCGCTGGGTAGGTTGAAGCACAGTGCAGGTATTCTTGCGTGCTGCAGAAATTCATCTGGAGGACTTAGGAAAATCAAAAGACATTAAAACGTGACAAAGTTGAATAATATCTTTCAACTATTGCAACACCCCTAAACAGCCATTTCAGAAGAGTTTACTTTTGGTTGTCTCACATGTTAGCCAGGTTTCACTGTTTGGCTTTTTTATCCGTAAGAGTGATTAGCATCTATTTTTATTTTTTTTAAATTCAGTATCACTCCTGAATCAAAAATTAAGGTTATAAGAATGCAGGAAATGACCACACACGCAAGGAGGACTTGATTGTTGAACAAATTCTCCTCGCCATAGGATATTAATAGAGAAAAATAGGTAAATTAAGCATATTGATGTAAAAGGTTAATAATTATGTGTATTTCCCCTCTGGAATTATAGATCCTTTGGACACTTTCAGGCCCATGAGTATGGAACAGCACATGGATTCTCAAATGACACTTCAAAGGGCCGTATTGGGTTTGCTAAAACCAGGCTCTCGGTGACCAAGGTGCATCATATTAAAAGTTTGTTCTTGGTTTAAGGAAACATGTTTTGTACATTTTATTTTCATGTTGACGTAATTTACTTTAAACTTTGAATGTTGGACTTAAAAGACATGGGATGACTGCAGACAACTTACTGTTTAATGTACAAGGTGACAGCTTAAAAATAGGTTTGTGCTTTTAGTTGAAGGGGAAAAATAGGCCCTTTATTTGACCTCAAGACTACATATGTATCTGTACCTTGAAAAAGGAGCCTTGTAATTTGGTCCTTGTAAAATAACATTTTTCTTTTTTTGGTTGTTTTCTGTTTTGATAGCTGTTACATATAATCACCGAAGTGTTTGTTGACAGTGGTATTCCAGCATTGGGAATTTCAGTAAGTACAGTGTAGGTGTACTTGCCAAGGTAATCAGTCCTTTAGGTAACAAATGTGATAATCCTTCAGTGAGAAAAACATATTTTATCATAAATCATATGTGAGTCCTTTTAAGATGAGTGGTTGACAATTATTGATTACAAAATGTAAGCTGTAGTTACGTCACAGCAAGCTAAACCTGAAAAAGTGATTTGAGCTTCCATGAAACTGAAACCTTTTTCTTCCTTATACCAATCTGGTACTGCTGCCAACTGGCCTGTGAAACCGCAGTTTTGGAGCAGAGAGCTTCCCGTAGTAGATTGTTGATTTGGAATCCTGTCACTATTTTCTATCACTTGAAACATGACTTATATTGGGTGAAGGTACAGTTTTGTAGTTGAGTGACAACCTATAGGTGGAGAAAAATTATCAAAGTGTAATGCTTGTTCAATGCTCTTAATCATGGCAGACCTACACACTACATGCACATGTAGTGCAAAACCTTCTTAACTGTGTTTTATTGAATGTAAGGAGTCTCTTTGGTTCAAAAATCTGCATTTTGAATTGGTACATAGTCTAGTTTGTCAACCATTTTTAACTCCTGAAATCTGATTGTTAATCCTCCCCTCTAGTTGCTAGACATTTCCTTGTAAATTAATGATGAGAGTTTGGTGTTAGATTAAGATAACAGCTTCTACTCCATAAGTTTGAGTATTCTCATTACCTGTTTGCTGGATAACTTATGGATATTATGGGGAGAGGTTTCATTTTTATCACTTATGGGCATTTAAGGTTGAAGAAACATTTTCCTGCACAATATGAAATCCAACACAATTTGATAATATTAACCAGACTTGGTTAGGTGCTTTTAAAGAATTTACCGACTGGCCAGCAGTTATAATTATAACTCTACTTCGATGTTATTTTTTTCAATATTCTTTTTGATGGTAAAAATGAGAGGAAATATGTAAAACATAACAGAAGAAGCATGTTTATTCGTTTCCTTTGATTGAATACCTCATCATTACCATTAACATGGGTTGATTACTATTAACACAGGCACCCTTTCTTCCAAAAGTTTTGTAACAAATCAGGGATGTGGCTTATCCATGGAAAATGTGCTACACATTGATCATTGCTTTGCAAATTTGGTGGTTTCTAAAGGAGCCGTTTTTGCTCATAGCAGTAGGTAATATTTCTTGCTGTTGAGTGGCATTAAATCTTCTTTGTTAAGAGACCTTTAAACCGGTCTAAAGTCGCCTTTCTTAAGCAACTAAGCTTTGATTGGCAAGGAATGTCCATTCCACCCGTGTAAAACTGTTTACAGTGTCACCAACTGTGGGTCGCTTTAAGTTGAAGTTGGTACATGTAGTTGGCTGTTATTACAATTCCTAAGTTTCTTCTGAAACTTAAAAAACTAGAATCTTCAACTGCACGTGAAGAAAGAATTTCAGATGGTTTGAAACACACTGACTGCTCCTATAATATCTGGAGTGATACTGATTTTTTTATCTGGAGTGATACCAACTTGGTTATTCCC